GGGAGGTCGCCGGGATTGTGCTTTCCGGCGGAGGGAGGTCACCGGCAGTGGTGGGGAAGAGCCGGGGAGCATCCCAGGAACCGCGCTCACCCGTGGGGCTGCTCAGTTGAGCCAAGGACGGCCCAAGGTGGCCCGGCCACGCACGCCTGCGGCTGCCGAAATGGCCGCGCCGCCGGTGGCAAACTAGAGTGGCAGAGTTGATGATACGAGGGACAGTGGAGGTGCGGCGAGAGCTGAGGGATGTGGTGCTGCGCTTAGTTGAGACAGAGGAAGAGCGCAGCAGCTGCAGCGGCAAGGAGCTCCGCCCAGCCATGGCGGCCATGGCAAGCACGGCCGTGCTCAGCGCGAGCAGGCTCCAGAAGGCAAGTGAGGGACTGTGAATGGAGAGGTCAGGAACAGGGCTCGAGCTCGGCTACTAAAGCGACACGCGATGGCAAGGTGGCGAACGGACAGCGAGCTGGGACGCCACGCGGCATCAAGCTTCAGAACCATCGGCCACGTACAAAACTGACGAACTGAATGAACTTGATCAAATTCCACCGCGAAAGTACGACTGAAACTCCGACTTTCCCGCCCTATAACTCCCGATCCGGTGGTCCTGTGATCAAGGAACAAGAGGCAAAGTTGTACATCTATGTGAGGTGAACAATATTGCCTTAAGGATCAAGAGCTAAGTCGGCCTAGATTTGGAGATATGGATCTTCAAAGGAGGGTACCTCAAAACCGAATTCTGCAGTTCAGTTACGGGCTAACTGAAACCGCATTCTTCTCCCTCTTCTACTCCCTAGTACATCCAGTTTCAGCAAAAACGTCAGTAATACAAGTTGTATATCTATGGGAGTACTACAACTTCTATTAAAGGTTCATGAATTGTTTCAGCCTGGTTTGGGAGATACAGAGCACCAAATAAGCTAACCTGAAATTGAAATTCCCGTTCCCAGACTTAGAAAAATTTCAAGTGCTGAAAACAGCTGCTGATTCAAAGTTTGAGCCTCGGTTTGACTTGCTTACAAGCTGATCTAGCTCTTGGTCCAAAAATAAAGTTTGTTGTACATAATATGGACTCCAACTTTTATTTAGGTTCCACTACCATGCAAAGACTCCAAGCCACAGTTCAAACCAAGTCAAAATAGCCTCACGGTAAAGCTTAAATCTGAGTTTTAGACCGATTGATGCATTTTCTTGATCTCTGCTCAACACGAACCCTTCATGACTTTTATTGTGGAGTTCAATTAGATTCATTTGGGTAAGGTTGCAAGGTTTGGTTGATGACCTATATTTTCATTCACTTAATAGTGTAATTCAAGCACTTAATAAAGTCATTCCAATAAGGATATAACTTATCATTTCATGTGACTTTTTGATTCCAAACTTCATGAAACTTTTCCAGTGATCCATATAGATGGGTATTGATGTGAGACATATGAAGATATCTCAATCACACCACCCAAGCATATATCTTGAAAAGAGGTCTATAGGCGAGCAAAGGTGCAATATCCAAGTTTAGGTTGGGGCTCGTTTCTATAGGTTTGACCTTGACATCTTCATCATCACTTAATATGCCATGTTTGAGCTCAAACCCATTGCTTAACTAGTGACAAACACCTGGGGTGTTACAGGCTCCTCGGGTACGACGACCGGGCTCTCGGTTTGTGATCCTGTATGATGCAGGTGCGTAAGTGCTTATGCAAAAGGTGCATCGGATGAAATAAACACAATGAATATGCTTGCATGCAAGGTAGATGAGCATGATTCGCTTCAATGGGGAGAGTATAATACAAATCTCATACAAGGTAGTCAACATCATCCAAGAACATGTACTAGAAGCACATGTCATCTACTGCATTCTCTTCTACTACTAATATGCTAAGTCAACACATCTCATTAAATTCTTCAAAGATACACCAAAGCTTCACTAATTTCTTAATCATGCATAAAGCAACATTTGATTAAATCCTAATTAACAATAGGTTTGAATAGCAACATCTATTTTTATAGCATAGAAAAATCTTAGAAAATTACCATAGCACAGTACTACCCTAAGTAGTCTACCATCAAAATTTTATGGCATTTGGATAAGTGGAATAGCCTACACAAAAATGACAAGCTTGGACCTAAATATGAGCATGAAAATACTTTGTATTATGAAAAGTGTCAAACAACAGATTTAGTATTTTTCCTATGATCTTCATAGCATACAATTACTGTGCAAAATTATCACATGCATGTTTTATACAAATTTTGCTCTCTAGCAAAAATAAAAAAAATCAGCCATTAAAGTCACTTGAACTACACCTCATAATTTTTCTACAGGACATGCATGGCATATATTTTTCACAGAAAGTACATCTCAAGAATAGATCAACCAAATTGGAATCATAATTTTCTGATACATATAGGATTTACTAAACCTTTCACAAGATATCCGCAATATCAAGAATTAAATAAAGCCCTACATTAAAGTATCTCAAAAATGATATGCAATATTTTTATCATGTAGATCTGGTGACAAGAAACACAACAAAATTTGTTTCATCAATTTTGGAGCAATATAAATCGAGATATACATTTTACAAGCTTTTTAAATCAATTTTTGAAATCATTTTCTTTAAAACTGAAATTCCACCGACCCAAAACTGCTAGGTGTACCCGGTGCAGTGCACCCAGAGGTGCTGCCAGGCGGGACCCGTGGTCAATTCAGGCCCACGCGTCAGCCGGAGCCGAGCAGGGGCCGTCGCTGACCGGCCGGCTTTCACCGCCGGTGAGCTCGCTGGCGGTGAGGTCACCATGAGGGGCTCCCCGCAACGAGGCGGACCCGATGCGCCAAGAACGGGCATTGGAGGAGCTCGGAAGGGAGCTCGACGGCGCGCATGGCGGAGCGGTGGCGCGGCTCGTCGGCGGTACGCCGACTCCGGCCACGGCAGGGCACGGGGAGGCGCGCACGAGGTTCGCGGGGGCAAGGCGGTGCTAACGCGCGCGAAAACGGAAGGAAAAAGGGAGCGAGAAGGGGAGATCCACGGAGCCGTGCTGCTCCGGCGAGAACGCCCGTGCTCCAGCGAGCAACAGCGGCCGGCTCGAGCCTTACCACGTCGAACGGAGACGAGCACAAGCTGCGCGAGGTGGAGGCGGAGCTGCTGGCGAGATGGAGCGGCCTACGGCGAGCAGTGGTGGCCGGGCGAGCCGATTCCGGCGAGGCAGCGCGGCGGTGGCGGAGGCGAGCGTGCGCTGCTGCCGTTGCTGCTGCTGACCGAGCGAGAGAGAAAATGAGATGGGGGAGGGGGAGGCAGACGTGGCGCGGGGGGTGTAGGCGTGATAGGAGGGGCGCGAGGCAGGCCGGCGGTGCCGCGCGGCGTGCTCGTCGGCGCATGGCCGCCACGCGGCGTGCGCGCTCTGGCGCGGTCGGGCGAGTGCGCGGCGAACGGGCGCGGCACGCGGGAGCAGGAGCGCGGTGTGGAGCTAGGCCGGGCCGGCCTGTGCGGCTGGGCCGAAAGCGAGGCACAAGGCCCATTCAAGGAAAAATGATCTTTTTTTCAAATTCTTTTCTCTCCCAAATTCATTCAAATGAATTTTTAAACTTTTTCAAAGCAGTTTTAAACTTTGGCCCCAAAATAAAAGTTGCTCAAAAATTTATTCTCTACAACTTTGCTTTAGGGACCAACTAGAAATTTTGCATAGATTTTGAATTGGGAAGTAAAAGCTAAATAGGGAGGATTTTTGACCATTTTCAATAATAATTTCAAAAGCAAATTTTGTCAAAAGTTTGAATACAAACTTTGCTCCAAAAATTGTGCTAAATAAGTCTAGATGATTTACAATTATAGCCAAACATGTTTTATTAGCCTAGCAAGCATAATTAGGGCAAAAATAACTCTAAACAAGTGTATGCAACATTCATGTTTCACGAGCATGTTTCAAATGTTTCAAAGCATTGTTTCAGTTATTATTTACATGATTAGGCATGTATGATTAGGATGCTTGATGATGCATAATATATATGATTTGCAGTGCCTAAATGCTTGTATAACACCGGGGTGTTACACAGATAATCCCAAGCTTGACTATAAAAGCTACTAATATTTACAACACATAATGAATATGAAATTATTTTTTATAATACAACTATTTGGAAATATAAATGTTGATATTTTTTATAAGTCTAGTTAGAGCATCTTCAAGAGACAATTTATATCTTTTTCTAATTTACAGGAATATGATTTTGTGAAAAAAAGTCCCCTAACACCTTGAGTTTCCAAATATAAAAATCCTTTATTTCGTATTTCTCGCTAGTTAATTAAAGATGAAAAGCGAGAATTATTCTCTAGAATACGCATAAGATATATAAAAGTTTTTGGAATAGAAAGCTATTTTTACTCAAATAACTCTCTAAATGATGATTTAGAAAGTAAATTTTAGCTTAGAGATGTTTTAAATTTAGAACTATTTCACTTATAAAGAGGTGGAATTCTAGTTTTTTTTTTCAGACGGAAGGAGCGCTGTATAGATAGACGGCACGGCACTTGATAAGGCATCATTTTTTTTTCGAAAACATTTGATAAGGCATCAGGGACAGCTGCAGACGCCGGCCGGCCGCAGATCCCAGTCCAGAATCCAGAGTCCAGACAAAGCCAATTTTCCTGATTGGAATACCGCTCGCTGTTGACTGTCGAGGAGAGCCGAGAGCAGACGCAGATGCAGATCCACGCGCACACAACAGGCCTCAAAAGGGCCCATCACGCCTTTCGCCATCCCTTCCCGCGAGAGAAAATTTCCTTATAATACTCACTGCACGTTATTTTTTTCCGTTTAAAAAAAAGCAAGCGGAAAAGGCACTTTTACCCCTGCGGGCAGCGGCGGGCTTGTCCGTCCACAGTAGTAGTAGCGAAGCACTGGTTGTTGGTAGGTGCACGCACCCCACCCCTCTCCTTCTGCCGTCCTCGATCTCGTCTCCTCCTCCTCCCCACCCAATCCCTCGCGGCGGGCGGGGGAGGAAGCGAGCGACGATGGCGGCGCTGGAGGCGGCGAGGTCGTGGGCGGGCTCCGTCATCCCGCCGGAGCTCGCCGCCGCCGCTGGGGGAGACCCGCTCGCCGCGCTGGCGGCCACCGCCGCGGCCCTCGTCGCGGGGCTGCTTATCCTCGCCGTCTGGTTCCGATCCGGAGGCGGGGCGCCGTCCAAACCGGTCGCCACGCCGGTACGGCCGCCGCCGGTGAAGGTGGACGCTGACGCCGACGTGGACGACGGCCGGAAGCGCGTCACCATCTTCTTCGGCACGCAGACCGGCACCGCCGAGGGATTCGCCAAGGTCGCTGCTCGATCCGATCCCACCTGCGTTTAGTCTAGTTTGTTCCGCTGCCCTTTTTGTTTGACTCGATGCGTTTATGTTCTCATCTCATCAGTCCATGGCGGAGGAGGCGAGGGCGCGGTACGAGAAGGCCGTGTTCAAAGTGGTGGATCTGGTAATTTTGCATGATCTATATGCGTACGTGTGTGTGTGTGTGTGTGTGTTCTAGACTAGCTTGGGCCCAGTGCTGGAGCTTGAGAGATTTGTTGGACGTGTGCAGGATGACTATGCTCAGGAGGACGAGGAATACGAGGAGAAGCTGAAGAAGGAAACTGTGGTGCTGTTCTTCTTAGCAACGTGAGCTCCCCCTCTGTGTGCTGATTCGCCCATTAGTGAATTGCGCCCTTTGTCGCTTGCGCCTTATTCCATGACCCACCTGCCTTTTGTTGGAGCTCTTCAACGCAAGCTGCATGGATTGGTGAATTGCGGCTTTTGTCGCTTGCGCCTTGATTCCATTGTTGATAATTCACCTGTATTTTGTTGTCAAGCTCAAGCGAACTTTGCGGATGGCTAGCTTTCGCCGTTTGTCGCCTTGATGCTAAATTCCATAGTCGATAATCCAACTTTCGTGGATTGGTGAATTGCTCTTTTTTGTGTGCCCTAGTAGCTAGTTACACAATCCACCTGCCTTATTTTGTTAAGCTTAATTTCTGTGTAGATTGGCTAAGCACCTTTATTGGTCACTCCTTAATTAGGAATCCAGCTGCCTTGTAAAGTTCGAATGTCTAGTCCTTTTACTTGGTGTGCCTTCAAAAAAAACTGTGTCTGAGGTAAAAAAAAAACTTATGTTTGTACACATAGCTTTAATCATCCACTGATGACATGAAAATTTAATGTAATTGTCCACTGATAACGTGTAGTTTAATGATACAGTTCATTTTATCAGAATTGGAATTGCTTTGCTGTTTGTTCTGTGGAGAATTGGCTCCATTTATCTTGGCTGCGTTCTAATAGACAGCTTGATTTTATCGTAGTACAACCTTATTTTCATTGATGATACACTAACTAGTTTGGGTAAAATTTCCTTCCTTCTCCATGATTGGTGAACAAGCAATATTGTTTGTTATGAATTACACAGTCTTTCTCTCTTTTAGTTAAAATATTTCATCTGTATTTTGTGGCAAATTATATTCATGGTATGCAGATATGGGGACGGAGAGCCAACTGATAACGCAGCAAGATTCTACAAATGGTTTACTGAGGTTTGTGAAGTCTCTGTAGTTGGGATATGTTGACTTCTGTTACACTCCTGACCTCTTTTCAATGCCTGAAAACAGGGAAAAGAGAAGGAAGTTTGGCTGAAGGATCTTAAATATGGTATTTTTGGCCTTGGAAACAGGCAGTATGAACATTTTAATAAGGTAAACACACAGAATTGCATGTTATTGTTATTTGGATGAAAGCTGGTTACTGTTGAGTGTTTTGGTTATTGATTATGCACATGGAAAATGCAGGTTGCAAAGGTGATAGATGAGCTACTAGAGGAGCAGGGTAAGTAAATTACACTAGTTCCCATGGGAAAAGTTGAAACAAGTAGATAGCATTAAGGGACATTCTCAAATCTCAACATAGTTTATTTCTGTTTCAAGGATAAAACTTTTAGGATTTTTTCCCATTATGGTGCCATGGTAATGATAGAAACCATCATACATTCTTTTCTCTTGTAGCGATCAAATTTATTTTCACATGAGGATCTGTTGTGCTAAATGCATGCATTTTTTCCCATTAGCTGCCATGGTAGGTCCTTCATGATGTAGGGTTTCATGATTCATGATTGTGGTATTTGATTTTGTTGTCATGGCTTCCAATTTCTTGTGTATCTAGGTGGGAAACGTCTTGTTCCTGTTGGCCTTGGAGATGATGATCAGTGCATTGAGGATGATTTCACTGCATGGTACAAAAGCTACAATGACGTATATAATCTGCTGTGCATTCCTTTGCCGTGGTAGATATCTACCATGTGGATTGTAGATACAAAGTCGTGGTGGACTGGTGGGTAGTGCCCATCTAGCTTGTTGCCACAAAAACCAAATCCATGCTTGAGTTCTAATTTGGGGCATTGATTGATTCTTTATGTTGACACAGAACAAAAGTATCATTGTCCTACCTTTTTTCCTATCTAGATTGGGGAAATAATGTCCTTACTATGTGTTGCGTATATTTGCTACATAAATCACTTCAACTTCCATTTTTTTCTTGGTGTAACAATATTTGCTCAATAATTTGTCTTCAGACTATAATCGTGCAAAATATCATATGTTTGTTGGGATAAGTATACTGATGATGCTTTAATGACTTCTGAAAAACTCAGATAGTCTAATTAGTTGCTTAGTAATGGATTTTTGAAACACCTTCCATTTTTGCCATTTATGAACACATCAACCATTTGATGAAACTATTTTTTAGAATCATAACAGGAAAAAAAGATTTGGCAAATGGTTATTAGACTAGAGAATACCAAAATAGAAGTGAGCATACCCATGCTTAATATATGTGAGCATTAAATAAACAGATGATAATGTATTAGTTCTGACAATCTATGCAGTTGGACACTATTTTAGCTTATATATTTTGATATATGCCTTAAAATTATAGCAGTGAGCATACCCATGTTTAATGCTGCAAAAGCTTTACATGACCATTTGAATATTTAATGAACCCAAGAAAGCATTTTGTCTGTGTTTTCTATACAGAAATAAAAATTTTGTAATTTATTATGTTTGTTATGTTATGTTAGAAATAATCAGCTGCTGCAGTACAGTAGCAGCCCCACCATGCCATATCCTGTCTGTCTAGTGACAGCAGTAGGCAGTAGCGGTAGTGTATGATTGTATGGCCTGGTAGTTGGTAGTAGTAGATAGCTCATGTACACTGACTTTGATAGATGGAGTAGAAGCATGGGCGGATTCAATCCCTGGTATTCCCGGGACGGGAATACCCAACTTTTTTGGGACACCTTTAAGTATATATGTGTATTTGTAATGTTTTTGGTATTGCTGCTTGAGTGAGAATCATATATTCCTTATTGTTTTTTGTAGGAAAGAACTAGTGTGGCCAGAGTTAGATCAATTGCTCCGCGACGAGGATGACACAACTGGTGCATCGACTCCATATACTGCTGCTATTCCTGAATACAGAGTTATTTTCATTGATAAATCTGACCTGTCATTCCAAGATAGATCATGGACACTAGCCAACGGTACTGGTGTGATTGATATTCAACACCCTTGCAGGTATTTGGACACCAGAACAATTTGCTAACAACTTCCTTTTTGCCATTAAAAATTTTCTTTACAATAATATTATTAATTGCTAGGGCTAATGTTGCTGTTCGGAAGGAGCTGCACAAACCAGCTTCAGATCGCTCTTGTATCCATCTTGAGTTCGACATTTCTGGCACTGGTCTTCTGTAAGTTTCCTGATCTGCATATTCCTTTTCCTCTTATATTCCTTTATTTCAGTCTTGATCCTATCTATGTTCCACTGGTTCCCCTGTGCAAAGGATGTTCATTTTTTTTTTCTTTGCTAGGGACATGCTACATTTCCATTGGGTATTATTCAATATATTTGTAGTATTAAAATCTTGTACTTATGTACATAGCTCAGGCTACTAATGGGGTGTTTGGTTTGATGAATGGAGTGATCCATCACCGAACTCATGATATTATTGTTTGGTTTGGGAATGGAATGGGTTGATCAATCACCACCTCATGGCTCATATGCACTTCATTGGAATTGAGTCCTCTCATCACATTTTATGGGACAAACTCATGATGAACCACTCTCCATGTAGGATGAGGTGATGCCTCTAACCAAACACCCCCTGAGTACAGGTCCTATGCCAGAATATTCATTATGACTTTGTGAGCATGATTCAGGCTACTGCAGATAACGTAAATAATTTGCACTACAACACATCAGCAGAGCCTCACTTGGTCCTTTATTTTTCACCAATAAACTAGGAAATCTTTCGGTTTCATGAATTGGGAACGACTCAAATGAATTTGTGGTACCATAGGGATGACATATTCCATGTATTGAGATTAGTGATGAGTCGAGATGTAAGTTCCACTCATTTTGGGTCATTGGGTCGATCCAGAACTTGCTAAAATGAACTAAAAGGTTGGGATGCCACCTAATTAATTTAGGGGAAGAAATGAATTAATTTAGGCCTTAGGGTACCCACTTGCACCCTTGGAGATAAAAGGTTCCTAAACAGAGCATTTGTTCGTGTTAATCTTGAATCTCTCATACGTAGGAATGACTTGGATCAAAGTGCAAAATATAGCATGAATAGCTTGTTACCATCCAACTTCTGCCTTATTTTTGTAACTGGATTAGGTGATATCGGCCAGCCAAGAATGGAATTAATGTACTTTCATGGTTTCTGGCATCATTTACACAATCAAGTAGCAAAGGAACATATTGGATTCTGGTAGTTTGGCGATTGGTTTATGCGCCAAACTGTGGCATGGTTAGGATGAGCTCTAATCATGTGAATAATGTTGTTATTCGGTACCATGGCAGTCAGGTTGATGTCAACATGACAAAAAGCAGATTAGTAGATCCTATAATATTTTCAGTTGGTTGACTAACTTATTAACTGGCTTATGAAATCATTTTATTTTCTTCTGTCTGATTGCATTGAGGTGACAGTTCAGTCACAATTGTTCCACAAAACTCAAGATGAAAGAAGCAGCCATGTACTTATTTGAATACAACAAGAAGAATGCCTTTTAGTCCTAGGCAAGTTGGGGTAGGATGGAAATGAATTGCCCATGTACTTCTTTGATTACTGTTCAACAGGACAAAACTCAAAACCCAGTACTTGTGCTACATCAAACAGTTTATCTTTGTACCGATTGTTGCATAATGCTTTGTATTCTGAATTTATTGACATTATCCAGAGAATTCTGTTCAAGGTGTGAGTACTAGGATCCCCCCTAATCTATAAAGACTACAGCATATCTGACATTTTGAATTCTTGTTTCAGGTATGAAACCGGAGATCATGTTGGTGTATATGCAGAAAATTCTGTTGAGACTGTGGAGGAGGCTGAAAGGCTACTTGACCTTTCTCCACATACATTCTTCTCCATCCATGCAGATGCAGAAGATGGATCTCCTCGTAAAGGAGGAGGTTCCTTGGCCCCACCTTTCCCATCTCCATGTACCTTGCGGACTGCGCTTCTACGATATGCTGATCTACTCAGTCCACCGAAGAAGGTCCACATGATTTCTAAGAATTTTCCTTCTTTCTATTTTTCTTGTGATCGTTTGACCAATCTTTGAATGACGTAATCATCTCAGGCTGCTTTGCTTGCTTTAGCTTCTCACGCATCTGATCCAGCTGAAGCTGAACGACTTAGATTCTTGGCTTCTCCCGCTGGAAAGGTTGTCATCCTTTCAGAATCCCTATATTATGCCATTTAAAGTGGATTTTTCTCCTTTGCTGACTAATAGAATTGTATGTAGGATGAGTATTCTCAATGGATAACTGCTAGTCAGAGGAGCCTTATTGAAGTTATGGCTGCATTCCCTTCAGCTAAGCCACCACTGGGAGTGTTTTTTGCAGCAATAGCTCCTCGTCTGCAACCGCGATACTACTCAATTTCATCATCTCCAAAGTAAGTATATATTTTTTAACTATCAGTGTTCATTTCCTCTATTTGCAGCCTTTACCTACAAGTTTCAAACAGTACATCTGCAATATTTTCCTTTTTGGAGAGAGGGGGGGGGGGGTCATGTCACAAGAAGATGGTTAAGGGGAAAACCATGTGTGCCTTGTAAAGCTAGTTTTCAAGTCTCTACCTTTGTTTGATTTCTTCCACCATGAAATTATTTAAATTTTAAATCTCAGGCACCAGCTAAGCTTAAGACGCTGTGAGTTTCCATATGTGATAATATTGGACTGTCTTGTTCATATTGGTCAATTGGTGTGGCGTATTATGCTTGAGGTGGTGGTATGTACCTTCCATTAGGGAGGCCTCTTGACAACTTATAAATGTCTCTGCAGGATGGCTCCCTCCAGAATTCATGTAACATGTGCATTAGTTTATGGGCCTTCACCAACAGGAAGGATCCACCAAGGAGTTTGTTCAACATGGATGAAGGTAGGCTCTCGAAAAAAATCCTTTTTTGGGCATTAAGCTCCTGAATTACCAGCAATAACGAAGTTTCCAACAGTCTGATTTATTATTTCTGTGATTTGATCATATGCTTGGCAGAATACAATTCCTCTGGAATATAGCAAAGAATGCAGCTGGGCTCCCATCTTTGTGAGGCAGTCAAATTTCAAATTACCTGCTGACCCGTCCACTCCGATTATCATGATTGGTCCTGGGACAGGGCTGGCTCCTTTTAGAGGCTTCTTGCAGGTTTGTTTTGCCAAGAATCCAGTGGGTGTATATTTGCAAGTCTGCTTGAGAGTACCTAGACCCTAGTTTAACTTATCCTTCCACTCCCTCTTGGCAGGAAAGGTTAGCACTGAAACAATCTGGAGCAGAACTGGGCACTTCGATCCTTTTCTTTGGATGCAGGAACCGTAACATGGTAAGGATCGCCGGTTATGACACAATTCCTTGTGTTATTGTTGTGTTTCTCAGCAAATATTGATGGAATTCAATCTGAATTACCACCCTTCAGGACTACATATATGAAGATGAGTTGCAAACTTTCTTTGAGGAGGGGGCGCTTTCTGAGCTAATTGTTGCATTCTCTCGGGAAGGGCCAACGAAAGAATATGTGCAGCATAAGATGGTGGAGAAGGTCAGATACAACATACACTCTTCCTTAATATACTATTACTTCTCGAGCGTTTCAAATATTCAATGTCCACTGGAAGGTTTGCTCGACTAGATTTACTTCTTTTTGTTACCAGGCCACAGAAATTTGGAACATCATCTCCCATGGTGGTTACTTGTATGTTTGCGGTGATGCCAAGGGAATGGCTAGAGATGTACACAGATTGCTTCATACAATAGTCCAAGAGCAGGTAGATAACAACCACAATTCATCGTCTAATAGATGGCTATAAACTTTACTATGTTGTTTGTAACATCTCATTTGTGTTTCACTTCAGGGATCTTTGGATAGCTCCAAAACCGAGAGCTATGTAAAGAGCCTGCAGATGGAATGCAGGTACCTACGTGATGTATGGTGACACATCACCCCCAATCAGCCATAGCTCTAGCGTTTGGAAGTAAAGCTGGCTTTGCGTGTATATGCCAACCCAGTCGTCAGCTTTGGAAATGAAGCATGCCATTGATTATATACTGATGAAATGAGTTGATCAGTGTAATTCTTTGACATCTAACTATTTATTATTATATGAGATGGGAGGAACTGAGGGAGAATAAGTGATGTTGTAGATTTGTAGAACTTAAAAAATTTGTGTATCCCTGACAAATTTGTAGCCAAGGGGATACATCATACAGTTTGAGACGAGGACATTATGTATAGTAAGTATTTTAGAAGGCCACTGAAAACAAATTTTGCATTTGTTTATTTAAAGCTTGTACTTCTAATCCGTCGTTGGCAATCTACATCTTTGTACAACGGCAATGTTGCATGGAAGGTGCAGCTGCAGCATCAGTAGGGATGCAAGTTCTAATTATTTTGGGTTGTTTGGTTGACCAGGATTCAAGTTCTAATTATTTGGGTTGTTGGGTCGACCAAAAAATTTGCTGAAATTGCATTAGAATTGTATTTCACGTATTTTGATTGGGAAAAAATGAACTCGAATAATATTTGACATTAATGAGTTAGCTAACTAAAAAAACTCCATTTGATGGTTGTAATAGAGTTCATCGTTTGTTTTTTTTTGTGTTTAGGCTAAAATCGAACTTGCCCAGTACAACTGTTAAAAGTTGTTACTCCAGGTCAATTGGGAGGGAGAGGGATTTAACCCTAAGCCTGTCATAATAGACGAGGTCAATTGGGTGGGAGAGGGATATAATCCGAAGCCTGTAATATAATAATGGAAAAGGCAAGACAATATTTGTCAACCACTCGCTCCTCCTTATTAACACCCTAGTTTCTCTCTTTTATTTACTTCCCCCTCAAATCCCCCTGTCATCGCAATTCTTATCATATCCATTCATGGGATCCTGAGCATGGTATTTCCTCAAACCCATCCAAAAAAAGGGGGTCATTTTAGCTCTACTGTAAGCCAAATTATTTTTTAAGTTTGATCAAGTTTATGAAAAGAAGATCAACATTTATGATGCCAAACATATATATTATGGAAGTACATTTCTCAATAAATTTAACAATACTTATTCATTATAATAAATATTGACATATTTCTTATAAACTTGGTGACTCGAAATTATTTGACTCAACAAAATGATAGTGTTTTTTTTTTCTTTTCGTTTTTTTTAGCAACACAATGCGCTTAGTTAGAGCAGCGAGCTTGCCACGGGCCGACTGCATCCGAATCCACACACTAAGCCCTCAGAAATATCTAGTGGGCTTTCCGTGATTGGTCTTGTGGGCTCGATTCGAGAAATGGGCTGTGCACGACATTCGATCGGCAATGACCACGGCCCGTGCGTCCGTGCCACACACACTGACAGTCTAATACGATGTGTGTCAGGCTGCCCAGCACGGCTTTGGCAAAACCGTAATTGGTTGCTCCGAGCCTTTTGTTTTTGGACAAATTTTGGTCCCTGCTGCCGACCAAGTTCTGTATACGGGCAAACCGTATGCACTGATTTGGTTCAAGAAGGATGCATATTGTCTGGGCCCTCACCTCATTCACTTGGCTTATAAGGCGTACTTTTTCAGCTAATAAATAGTATTTTTCTCTCACAACAAATCAGCCAACAATACTTTCAACCATTACTTATCAGTCAAGCAAACAGGGTATTTTATGTGGCAGCACTCTGCACTGCCGCTTCCCGAGTCCTTGCACATGGTGAGACAAATAGGGTGCACGACTACAGAGTACAGACCGACAACGCAAGGCCGGTGTGATGCATGCGCTGATGTCGCCGATGGAGACACTTGTGAGCGCTCCGAATCGGTTCTGTTCCAAGAAAGTCATAGCAAGCCGTTACGGTGTTACTGGCCTGCGGCCTGCCAGGATGAGCTCTGAAGAAGGATGCACAGACTACTTTTTTTTTCCTGTCATGCGTTGAATTCGTTGGCACGGTGCAGGTGCCTGAGAGCCTGAAACCTTAGCTTAGTTCAGGGTTCAGGCCTGTTTGGAACGTAGGAATTTTACAGGAATCTCGTAGGGATTTCATAGAAAAAACGTAGAACAGGAATTTTTTTCTCGCAATCAAACTTTGACAATATGTGCTTGCTACACGCGCTTGTCCACATCTCCTCGCGTTTTTCCCTCCCTATAGTCTTTCTTCTACGGAGTACTTACATATGGGAGGAGGCCGCAGGCATGTGAGTGTGACTTTGTGAGGTACGGGAGATGGCGCAAATAGGATCAGGAATATACGTACGTGCCCGGCATGCATGGCGTCCATCGATGCCCGCAAATGTGCAGCACACTTCACGCGCACGCACGCACGGTCAAAGACTGACAGATTGTTTATGTCAAAACTTAACAGAGCTGCATGCAGCTACAGAATCATCGTTGACTGTCGGCGCTTCCGTTTACTTTCGCTTCAGACGGGACCAATGGGATTTTCACCTCCGAGCAAATAGTAGGCGAAGAAGATGGCCTTCACAGTGTCGGCTTTCTCGAGGATTCTGCCGTAGTTTGCGGCCTACTACCAACCATATACAGTATTATAGCTAAACTTTACCAAAAAAATATAGTATATCCGCTTAAGAACCTGAGCAAGTGGTGGCCGGCACCCTGCGCAGCTAGCTAGGTGTTCAGTAGTACACAAGCTACATGCATATAGACACAGCAGGGAGCGTAACGGGAGGGGTTAGTCTGTGAGTGATGCTGGGCATCACGTGCAGGCGCTGTGATGCAGGCGCTCGGCTTTCGTTTGATCGTTTCTATGACTTATAAGTTAACTGATGTTGTTTTATTATAAAGAAAAATATTATATCATGATTAATAAGTATGGTTGATACATCAGCCGAACAGGCTGTTTATTTGTGGCCGGGCACCGCACGGCAGGCATAATGTAAGCTCCCTTCTTGGAATTCGCTTGAGGATCACACTCGCGGATCAGAACCGGAGTAGTTAAACGCCCGGCAAGGAATGATCGGCCGCCATGAGAGAGAGTACACTGTATTGGCAGGCAGCTTTAGCTTTATCTAGCTCCATCCGTGATCCGTCCCTATCTTGTGCGGGTCGATCGTTCCCTGGTGTCCGTGGTTATCGTTATCCGCCCGTAGGACACCTACTTTAGGCCATGTCCATTGCCCAACGACCGGATAGTGGTTTCATCATGCCACGCACAGAGAAATCTTAATAGTTGGAACAAAATAGTAATCCCCCATCCTAAGTGTCTGCGTTGAGAGTACTCTTACTAGCAGACGAAATGAAAAGCTACACAATCTGAAAGGTTGTAGAAGTATGGCATTCACATATTAATTATTGGAAGATGAAACGCAAGCCTTTGCATGTTTAATGGGAGGAAGCCTTTATTCACAGCCGAAGCATTGGTATCCCTGATTAAAGGAGAACACTGAACCTACATCAGGTGTAGAACTAGCACAAAATTTAAGTGGCGGTTTTTTATCGATGGACCTCTGTAGCTACATATGAAAGAAGACATATTTTCTTTGAAGACCTAGAATTTGAGTACTGGGTCTGCCTCTGAGCTACATGTACTCTAAATCAGCCCAACATAGCTGAAGTTAAACAAGAAACGATATGTGTATATTAAACTTACAGAGCTGTAATTGCTTGCCATATGTGATGGCGAGCCCCCACGCTGATCCAAGCGGCGTGAGCTCACCGGCACGATCTGCGCTCAACCTGACCAGAGCGTCCTTCTCCGCGGACATCCATGTGGAGCGCTACGCTTGCTGTGTACGTGGTGGCATTTAGTCTAGCCTCATAGGTCAGCGGCCGCGTACAACTCTAGTCTCTGGAGAACAACGGACATTGAACTGTGTATATGCTCTGGAGCCAGACGGGGCGAGCAACTGCGATATGAGTGCTAGGCAAGCTTAAGTGACCCGAGTCAACATGATATACTTAAAAGATATGAAATAAACATAAATACAAGTAATAAAGCTCATTTGCGTCAGAGTAAAACGTGAAAGCAAAAGCAAATAAGCATAGCACAAGTGATATGACATATCAGCGTCCAGTTGACTCCAATAAGATTCCAGAGAGGAAAAATCACGACCAGACGCGTCCGGTCACACTTTAAACACTGGAGTTCGGGGTGAACTGACCGGAACGTCCGGTCAACATGACCGGAGCGTCCGGTCACCCCGCAGAGACACATAACGGTTCATTTTTCAGCCGGTGTTATAAATACCACCTCCATTCGTGTGGGGGGTACTTTTACTCATTCTAACAGCTGAGAAACACCTTTGAGAGTACCAAGAAGAGAAAGGTCCTATTGAGGTGATTAAGATTTGAGAATCCCAAAGAGAGCCCTCATTAGTGAGATCAAGAGTAGCAAAGTGTGCATCCACCCTTCTCATTAGGCTTGTCGTGGTCAAGTGAAAGTCCGTGCTTGTTACTCTTGGTGATCGCCATTACCTAGACGGCTTGTTGGTGATTGGGAGCTTGGTGATCATCCGGAGAGCTTGTGGATGACCCAACTCAAGTTATGAGCGGTTGTGGGTGATTCACCGCGACGGAGTGTCAAAGAATCAACCCGTAGAGAGCACTTGATCCTTGCGCGGATCAAGGAGGAGCTACACCCTTACGCGGGTGCTCCAACGAGGAATAGTGGGGAGTGGCGACTCTCCGATACCTCGATAAAACATCGCCGCGTTCCTCCTTCTCTCTTTACTTTGAGCATTTACTTTAAGCAATTCAATTCTTGTCATTTGTATTCCTAGAATTGTCATGCTAGAGTAGGATTAGAACATATGTTAGTAAAATTTTGTACGTTAGATTAATAGAAACACTTTCTAGGCACAAGGGGTTAATTGGGCTAATTATAGAACTTAATTATTGCAAAAAAATTTAGAATTAGTCCAATTCATCTTTCCTTGGGCATCTTGATCCTTTCAACGAGGGAGAACGTTTTTTAGGAAAACCTCAGTATGAGCGAGAACACTTTTGAGAATGATCGGAACTTTTGTTTGTTTTGATGTAGGGTTGTTGCCTCTAGGTTATATAGGCTATATAGATTTGCATCTGGCATGTAAGTAATTTTGTATGTAAAATAAAAATTAGGTGTTT